GGAAGGGAAGGGAAGGGAAGGGAAGGGAAGGGAAGGGAAAGGAAAGGAAGGGAAGGGAAGGGAAGGGAAGGGAAGGGAAGGGAAAGGAAAGGAAAGGAAAGGAAGGGAAGGGAAAGGAAAGGAAAGGAAAGGAAAGGAAAGGAAAGGAAAGGAAGGGAAGGAAGGGGAAAGAAGGGAAGGGTGGGAGGGAAAGGAAAGGGAAAGGAAAGGAGAGAGAAAGGAGAGGCCCACTAAAACTGGAGATTTCAAATTTAGAATATTGCAAAAGGATGTTCGGGGTCAGTCGGGGGTTATTTTCATTTCGCAACCTCTAAGGATGTGAAAAGGGGAAGTTGAGGGTTGGTCTGAAGAAGCTTCTTGGAGGAGAAGTGAAACGTCTTCAAAGAAAAACAAAGAAAGTCCAGTTGCCTCTTGGAACAAAAGCACTTTTGGGACAAGCATGGCCTGGAGGACGGAGAATCTCTACAGACTTTAGAGCAGGGGTCGCCAACCTTGTGGGCCTCCGCGACCACCAAACTCATAAGTTTAAATCCCTCGGACCGCTAATATGAATTTTGACTGCGGGTGGCTTGCTGACGTTTTCCCAGGGTCTCTGCAGAAAGCAGCAGGGACCCTGGGAAAATCCCCCCTAAAAAAGTCTGTAAGAAAATTCTCCGCCCCATTTTCCTACCAATCGATCCTTCTTTATTTGGGATCGTAGGATACCGTAGGATTCTCAGGGGGAGAGAAGAGGGAGGGAGAGACTTTTGGCTTCATGCAAGGAAAGCAGCAGAAGCCGCAGAAGTCTTTCTTTCTCTCCCCCAAAACTCCGCCAGAAATGAGTCTTTGTGAGACTTGTCATACTGGCGCAGCCTCTTGGAGCAGGAAACCTTGCAGGGTCCCAAAGACTCATTTCTGGCGGAGTTTGGGGGAGAGAAAGAAAGACTTTGGCTGCTTTCCTGGCATGCAGCCAAAAGCAGAAGAAGAAAGAAGCAGAAAGAAGCAACCTGGGGCCAGGCCAGGCACGTGGGGTGAGTAGGGCAAGTTCCCCTCCCCTTTCCCCCTTCCCCTCACTACTTCGTGTTGTTCGCAATGCAAGCAACGCAAGCCTTGTGTTCCTGCACAGCCTGGATTAATTGCTTTGGGGAGGGGGACATTTCTCTGCGGACCACCAACATTTTCTCGCGGGCTACCAGTGGTCCCCGTCCCAACCGGTTGGCGAACCCCTGCTTTGGAGCGGTTTCCTTCTGAGGGGAATCGAGTGATTTCCGTCTCCAGCCCTTCTCTCGTACGCCTTAAGGAGCCCACACAGGAAGCTTAGTATTCTTAAAGACGTGGAATTAGTCACCCTGAAAAAAAAGGAGAATTGCCAGCCAACACCCTTTCACCCCGTGCCCTTGCTGGATCCAACCGACGAAAGTGAGAGCAGGTGGGAAGGGACCCGGTTTGGGCCTTCTTGGAAACAATAAGGTTACAATAAGCCATTGTTTCAGGCCGAATATGGCAATAAACCCCGTTCTAAAAATAAGAGGAAAAATCCCCAAGTGATGCCAGCCTTTTCAGCTGCGCTCCTGGCTCCTTTTCGGGCTCAAGTTTCCCACAAGAAAAAAAAATCCCAAAGAGGCTCTTGGTGAAAAGCCCTCCGGATATGCGGGCGGGAGACCGAAGGCAGCTGGGGGAGAGAAAAAAAAGGGTGCTGAACCCCTAAAGGGTGGGGGAGTTCACCTCTAAAGGGTGGGGGGGCGTTGAGAAAAGTAGAAGATCAGAAAGATCGATGTGGCAATGTGACAGTCATCCCTAATGCTCTGCCCACCCCCCCTGCCCCCGTTTCTAAAAGGAAAAGAAAAGAAAAGAAAAAAGAAAAGGGAAAGAAAAGGAGGAGGAGGACTGTGGGGTCCTTGATGCTCTCTGAGGTTGGTGGTTTTCTTGTAGATGTTGCCCTCCCCTTCCTTCCTTCCTTCCTTCTCCTCTTCCTCCTCCTCCCACTGATGATGTTACCTGGCTAGGTAATGAAACGTCTGCAAGAAACCTACCAAGTTCAGAGAGCACTAAGGATCCCACAGTCCTCCCTCCCTCC